TAGAAAACTCTTAAAAACTGAGTTCTCAGTGTCCACCTGTGGTCCTGGTTACTCAGGAGGCTGAGGCAGAAGATCACTTGAGATCAGAGTTCAAGGCTACAGTGAGCTATGAATGAACCATGGCAGTCCAGCTAGGGTGACAGAATGAGACCCTATCTTAAAACAAAAACAAAACAGCCGAGTTCGGTGACTCAGCCTGTAATCCTGTGCTTTGGGAGGCTGAGGTGAGTGGATTGCCTGCCTGGGCAACTTGGCAAGACCTCATTGCTACAATAAAAAAAAAACAAAACAATTAGCCAGGCGTGGTAGTGCGCCTGTAGTTCCAACTACTTGGAAGGCTGAGGCCGAAGGATCGCCGGAGCCCAGCAGGTTGAGGCTGTGGTGGCCGGGAGCGGCCATTGCACTCCAGTCTGGGCGACAGAGACTCCAACTCAAAAAAAAAAGAAAAATTGAGTTCTCAGTCATGATGGGAAGTGAAGTCAGACGTGCTTGGTTATATCCCCTCCCTTGAGTTTAGGCACAGCAGACCAGCATTAATGTTAAAATAGAGATCATAAGACTGATAAAACAGACTCTTTGTGACAATAGATACCAAATTATAAACAAGACCCGAGGTCATGCAAGATAAGGATTAAGTCACACCTGCAGGCCATCAAGCTTGCCAAACAGCTTATATTGTGGTTGACTCTAGCATAGTACATTTATCTTCTTCTTTTTTTTTTTTTTATTTGGAGTCTCACTGTCACCCAGGCTGGAGTGCAGTGACATGCTCACAGCATCAACCTGCTGAGCTCCGGTGATCGTTCTGCCTCAGCCTTCCAAGTAGCCAGAACTATAGATGCGCACTACCATGCCTGGCTAATTTTTTATTTTTATTTTTTTATTGCAGAGACGATGTCTCGCCAAGTTACCCGGGCTGGTCTCCACCCCACAGGCTCAGGCAATCCACTCGCCTCTTGCCTCAGCCTCCCAAAGTGCTGGGATTACAGGCTGAGCCATCAAACTCGGACAGCACTTTTATCTTAATGTTAGGTTAAAAGTTCCTGCTGGGCCTCCAAAATGTTACGTCGGGCCTGATGGGGGAGTGGCCTGGTCTGTGATCTGGTGCCGCGCAAAGGATGCAAAGAATTGCACAGAAAACCGGGCTCAGTGGCTCAGCCTGTAATCCCGCAGCTTTGGGAGGCTGAAGTGAGTGGATTGCCTGAGCCTGCGGGTTCGAGACCCGCCTGGGCAACTTGGTGAGACCTCATCTCTACAATAAATCAAAAAAATTAGCTGGGCATGGTAGCGCGCACCTGTAGTTCCAGCTACTTGGAAGGCTGAGGCAGAAGGATCGCCGGAGCCCAGCAGGTCAAGGCTGCGGTGGCCAGGAGCAGCCACTGCACTCCAGTCTGGGCGACAGAGTGAGACTCCAACTCAAAAAAAAAAAAAAAAAAAAAAGAATTGCACAGAAATTAGATTGGAAAATATAGTTTATTTAGAAAGTAAATTAGAGGGAGAGAGAGAGAAGATTCATCTCCCCAAGGTAGGGGAAGGGGCTGAAGCTAAGAAAACATGGCAGTCATAGCTCAAAGAGCCATACGGACACACCAGAGTTTAACAAAGCAACGGTGACTGCCTTTTAAACCTTCTCCCTGGTGGGGGCAGGTCATTAAGGTGGTTGGTTGGTGGTCTGCTCCACATCATAACTGAGCATGGGTAAGCATAGGTACTGACATCAGGTGATGGACAGCAGGCAGGTAGGTGGGCTAGTCACATGACTGTTGTCATGTTGATGGTATCTGTCATGAAGGGCTGATTTGGTTAACTTGGGTCTTAGGGGTGGAAGCAAATACTTGAAATAGAAAAGCTAATTAGTACAAAACAAGCCGAGGAAGGGGGTTGTAAAATAATGATCAATAGCTACCTCTGAGAAGGTGGTTCTGTCATTGGCTAGTGATTAGAGGGTCAATTAAAGTGAACTGCTAGTAAAACATGACAGATCTAGGCAATGCTAAAATGGCTGCTCATTGGGTATATTGATTCCATCTTATGTCTTTTCACTTAACTTAAACGTTCCTTTCCGCTAACTCCAAGTTTTTAGACAAAGTTTTGTTCATTTAGCCAGTTGCAGATTAAAGAATCTCTGAATCCACCTGACTTGTAGGCCTCTCACTTCAAGATATCTTGTCTTTTCCAGTCAAACCAATGTATACCTTCCATATACTGATTTATGTCTTTGCCTGTAACTCCTCCCTCCCTGGAATGTATAAAACCAAACTATCATCCGACCACTTATGGTGCACTTTCTTAGAACTCCTCGAGACTGTGGGCCATGGTCACTCATATTGGCTCAGAATAAACCTCTTTAAAATATTTTACTGGACTGAGTATCACATGTTCTCACTTATAAGCAGACCTTGAACAATTATCATAATACTATAAGAAAGGGATTGGCAGTAGTGGAAATCTGTGGGGGGTGGCAAACCTGATCAACAAAGGTACATGCATAATGAACATTTGTATACCTAACCCTGAATTGTACCCCATATCTTTAAAAGAAAAAAAATATATAATATTTTACCAGGCTTAGTTTTTCTGTTAACACATTCATCCATTAATGGACATTTGGGTTGTTACCACCTCTTGGCAATTGTGAGGGCCAAAGTCCTTGGCCCCCCTAAAGGTTCTCTGAAAAATCACTGACATAACATAGATTAATAGGAGAACATTCATACAAATTTATTTAACGTGTGCCTTCAGAATGAAGACCCAATCCCCACAATGAAGTACAGAAGCTTACGATCTTGAGGTTATTTAAAAAAAAAAAAAAAAAAAAGAATATGGGCACAGAGTATGGTCTAAAACAGGTTTTAGTGGCAAGACACATTATGCGAGGGAGAAATGAAGAGTCTTGGCTAGCACAGGCGGTCTTGTTAAGTAGATGAAACCTGACAGGTAGCAGCCCTCAGAGAGAATAGATGGTAAATGTTTCCTTTGACTTTTAAAGGTAGCAGACTCTCAGTTAATCTCTCTTCGATCAGGGAAAGGCCTAGAAAGGGGCTTGGCTGCATCACTGGAAATTCTCCACAGACTTAAATTTCCTCCACATAAGAGAGTTTTGCAAGGACACTTCAGTCTGCTGGTTCTGTGGCAGTCATTTAAAAATATGTCAAAAGGCTGGGCTCGGTGGTTCAGCCTGTAATCCCAGCACTTTGGGAGGCCGAGGTGAGTGGATTGCCTGAGCCGGTGGGTTCGAGACCCATCCAAGCCACTTGGCAAGACCTCGTTTCTACAAATCAAAAATTAGCTAAAAGTGGTAGCACGTGCCTGTAATTCCAGCTACTTGGAAGGCTGAGGCGGAAGGATCATCAGAGTCCAGCAGGTGAGGCTGCGGTGGCCGGGAGTAGCCACTGCACTCCAGTGTGGGCAATAGAGTGAGACTCCAACTCAAAAAAAAAAAAAAAAGAAATTTCTCAATAGCCTTGTTATTCAACCCCTTTAGATTACACCTAAGTTTATACTAATGAGGTGACTTAGGATGTGGCCCTAAGTAGCCTCGGAATGGAGGTAGTCACCAGAAAGACCAAGTGATGAGAGGTCTGGATCTTCCATCCTCAACTCTGATCTTCTATAGTTGACACCTGATTGCTGGGCAGCTCACAGCCAGCTGCCCACTGGGTGTGCTGGTGATGCCTGCCCAGGGCAGGGTGGGCCAACATCAGACACCATAGGCATGCAAACCAAGAGCCAACCATTCATGAGTGCTCAGGCTCTGGCCAGAGTGGTAACAGGGTACAAGTAGGGAGACCAAGAATTTGTCCTGGGGAGAGAGTGAGAGGCAGGACTGTGCCTGAGCCAGAGTTCCAAGACCCCAGGATATGCTCCATTGTCCCATCGGACTTCACTTACAAAACACTAATTCAATATAAAATTAAGAATTTCAAGATGGTAGCAACAGAGCATTAATATCCATGTACAGGGACGTTCTGAGCACAGGGCCCTATGCAACCATACTTTTGTGTTTCTGTTTGTTTTTTTTTTGTCTGAGTTGGAGTGTCACTCTGTTGCCCAGGCTGAAGTGCAGTGGCATGCTCACAGTCCCTGCATCCTCAACCTGCAGGGCTCAGATGATCCTTCTGATCCTTCTGCCTCAGCCTTCCAAGTAGCTGGAACCACAGGTGCACTCCACCACACCCGGCTAATTTTATGATTTAATGTAGAGATGAGGTCTTGCCAAGTTGCCCAGGCTGGTCTCGAATCCATGAGCTCAGACGATTCTCTTGCCTAAGCCTCCTAAAGTGCTGGGATTACAGATGTGAGCCACCGCACTGGGTGCTTTTTTTTTTTCCCTTTCATATAGATTCCTAAAGCTCTTGTTATTTCTAAGTGATTTATATTTGCTTCTATTGTAAATGATTTTTTCCCATTGTATTTGCTAACTAGTTAGTAATAGTAAACAGAAAAGCAATTTTATACCATTATTTTGGCTTTTTCAGCATTTTTTCTCATCATTTTAAGAGATAAAATGCTAAAATTTAAGTCTTACTATCAATTCTCGTTTTCTACATAGAAAAATCATCTATAAATAATAGCTATCACTTGTTCTAAGTTATTTACCCAGATAACAATCCCATGAAGCAGTAATATTATCCCCATTTGATAGCTTAGGTTTCTAAAATGTGAGAGACTTGCCCAAGGTCAAAGAGCTAATAAGTAGAGGCAGAATCAAAATTCAAAACCAAATCCAAGTCTTCAAGCTTCAGAGTTCATACCCTCACCACTAGACTGATTAGATCCCCCCCTCTACTTTTATCTCTGAAGACTTAGTACATTGGACAGAACTTCCAGAACAATGCTAATTGTGGTGATAGCAAATATTCTCACTTTGTTCTCAATTGTAACTGGCAAATATGTCATTTTTAAGTATGATGATGGATACAGCTTATAAAGGAAACCTTTGTAACATGAGACTATCAATGATAATGTATATTTTCTTAATAAAGTCAAAAATCAATCTATTTGGAAGAGGGATGAATTGTGAAACTTTATTAGTAAAGACTTCTGTCCCAAGGTTTATTCCAATCACATTGACATACATAACATACCAACACGTTCTTGTTGAGAGAACAGAAAATCTGGACATTGTATTGATGCTGACTTAAGAGAAACAGAAGTCTCAACATACGGCCAGGAGTCCATATCTAAAGAATCGACCAATATGAGGCATCTACAAGAAAATCAATTCAACAACCTACTTTAAAGATACGTAAGAGACCCAAAGAAGTCAGTTTTTGTGGGAGGTTGATCTGTACAGTTTACCAAACATAATGTACAACACTAAAAGAACTATGTATTTCCAGGAGAATTAAGACTATGCATACCTGGATTAGCACCTAGAAATTACACAGATAATAAGACTATTTGGGCCCAGGTTATTCTAAAAGAAGATTCTCACTGGCATTTGATAGTAACTCTTACCTTCCATGTGAGTTTGTTGACCAGCTGAGTTGGTTAACTGCTTCATGTCTTCAGTGCTTTATGACATGAGATGTGTCAGGCTTGATATATTTCATATATAAATTTAAATAAAAGATTTTTTTAAAGTTTTATATTTACCCTAGTTTTATTTCCAAATTACTACTCTATAATTTTGTGGTATACCCTGAGGAAGATACTGGAAAAGCAAGAGAACCTTTCTCAACTGCTTGTGCAAAGTGACACTTCAAGAATGGTGCCCTGGGGAATCACTCATGGTTTCACAAGTATACCTGTACAATCTGAAGTCACTGATTGGAAGAAAAATCATCAATAGTATATTTTGGTTATGAAAGGTTCCATTAGGATTAGAAAAGGTTCATAATGCAGGTAGCTATACAGCCTCACTGAATGAGACATTTTACTTACTTAGTTAACACTTTATTTTGCATTTAATGCAATATTCTTTGGTTCTATCATATTAATAACCAGGAGAATAACTCTCTAGCTAATAAAAGAGATCAGTGGTTCTTAACTGGAGGTTTTTGCCCCAAGAAACATTTGACAAAGTCTGGAGATGTTTTTTTCACAGCAGTGGCAGGAATGTTACTGGCATCTAGTGGGTATAAGAGGGCAGGGATGCTGCTAACCATCCTACGATGCACAGGGTATCCCCCTACCCTCCAAAAAATCCCTGAACCACTAATGTCACTAGAATCGAGACTGAAAACTCTGCAAGAGGTTTATATGACATGAGCTGGGCTTCATAAAGTCAGAAGTACACTATGGAAACTGCAAGGCATCCCCTGTTCTTTGTAGCAGAGAAATTCCCCCGTCAGCTTTCACCATAGAGTCCCATTCATTCTCCTGTTTTCCATCCCAGACCCAGGGTTAGCTCCCTCTCACCAAAGAACTCAAAAAAGATTTAGATTTGCTAAATGGATGTGGGGAAAAGATGGTAGAAGCATGGTTTAAAATCATCCTTTGACTATATTAAATAGCAATTTTCTGTGACCTAAAAATTATTCTGAATAATGGTGTCAGTCTCTGACTATATAGAACCTCAAAGTTAGGGCTAACATATTTTTAAAAATGGAGTCCACATTTTAGGGAAGTAGTTTAAACACTTCTAGGTTCATTTTAGTGGGGATAAACCAAATAAAATGGTGCTAAAAGTAAACATTCAATATACTTCATTTTAAACGAAAAAAGTAACATATAAAATGCCATGCACAGCAGACACCATTGTTTTTTTTTTTTTTTTACATATTTACAATTTTACATATTTACTTATCAATATATCTTCTATTTTACAATTACAAAATTATTTCAAACTGTGGAATGGTGGTACCATTGAATTTCCTTAAACATACACTTTGTAGCATTTATTTGTGTTATCCTTTAAAGGCAATTATTTACCCCAAATCAAACCACAACGAATGCCACAGAGGAAGCACACAGGAAAATCATGGAGGGAAAAAAAAGATTGAGACAAAATTTTCACATGTCTTAAATGAATATACTTCAGTAACTCAAATAAATAGTATTTTATTATTAATTAAGCTTCCCGTGCCAGGAAAAAAAACAAAAAACAATCCCCAAAAACTGTACCTTTAAAAATGCTCCGACATTTATAAGCAATTAAATTATATCCTAGATCCCAATCAGTGGACTGTAGTAAGGGCTACCTAAATTTAGGCTCAAATAAATACTATCCATGTAAATTTTGATCATCCTGCATAAACCTGAGGTTGCAATGGTGGAGGAAGTTTATCATTTTCAACATTTTCAGAGTCAATAGCTGCTAATGGTTGACTTGGGGGCTTAATTTCAAGTGGGTATTTCTCAACAATGTCTTGGACTTCTCTTGCAATTCCATCTGTCCAGTCTATTAGGTCTTTTTCAAGTTTCTTGGCTTCATTCATGACCCTTTCCTGTCGTTCATTCAGCTGAGACAGAAGATCCAAGTTCTTATACATTTGCTTAACGCCTAAGCAAGCATCAGGAGACCAGTTCTCAGATTCTTGTTTCCTGGGGGAGGTCTGGCCAGACATATAGCGATCAAAATCTTCCTGACTTAAATTCAAAGACTGGGCATCTAATTTCTCAATGAAAGCCACAGCACAGCACTATAAAAAGAGAATGTTAATACAGTTATGTTAGGAAAGCTAGATATATTCAAATAGATTTTTAAAAGTAGACAAAACGACCTTCCATATACTTCAGCCTCAAAAATCACCAACTCACAGCCAATCATGTTTCCTTTTTGCTCCCAGAAGCTCCAGGGCCAAGTGTCTGGGTGCAGCCTTCCTAGGTGTACCATAAAGCCATTCTCTTCAGGGTCTTCTTGTCAGACCCACAATTCCCACCATGGAAATGGCAGGCCAGTGAGTATGGGCCCTCAAGATACTGGTATGACAACAAACCTCTGGTCCTCTAAGAGGTATTCTAATATCAAGTGGTTAAAAGGAAAATCTTTTATTTATTTATTTGAGTTGGGGTCTCACTTTGTCATCCAGGCTGGAGTGCAGTGGTACGCTCATGGCTGCTGCAGCCCCAACCTGCAGCTTGGGCAATCCTTTTGCCTCAGCCTTCCAAGTAGCTGGAACTACAGTCATGTACCACCATGTCCAGCTAATTTTTTGATATATTGTAGAGATGAGGTCTCACCGTTACCCAGGCCGTCCTTGAACCCCTAGGCTCAGGCAATCCTCTTGCCTTGGCTTCCCAAAGTACTGGGATTACAGGCGTGAGCCACCACACCAGGCTAAGAAACACTTTTAAATCAGACAACCTAAGTTAATTGTCATCTCTGTCACTTAACAGTAACAGTGGGAAACACTGGGAAAGCTATGTAAGCTCCCTGAGGTTTCCATATCTGTAAAATGGGGGAAATACCACCCAGATTTATTGTAAGAATTAAACAACAAAATAGTTATCATGCTTACCTAACAGGTCTGAAGTAAGCAATGAATAATTGGTAGCAATTATTAGTACAAAAATGCTAGGGTGAATGCCCAATTAAACAGACATCTGCTAGATATACTTTCTTATATTGAGTATTTTTCTACAAGGAGCACATACAACTTTCATGGTTTTAAAAAAAGCTATTTTCACAAGAAAAACAGGGGGAAAAAAGGTAGTTCTCAGAATTTCTAATCTCATTCACAGTACCCTACCTTACTGCTCACAGAAAAAGCAAATCATTTCTTTAAGGAATAGTTGGAAAATCTATTAGAATTTATTCATGTGAGGAGAACAGAAGAACATGCCCATATGGCTCACATACTCTGTGTTGAACTGCTGCAGCCCCTGTTACCTGGAGAAAGATGATTCTAACACTCCTCGCTTAGATGACTGAATAACAAGGCATTGCCACTAGCAGGAACAGGGAATACCGGAAAAGAGACAAACAATTTATGGGGAAGTAATTTCAGTTTTGAACAAATTACATTTGAGCTGCAATAAATGTGTGCAGTCAAGACAGATGACAAAGATCTGTGGGTCATCACTGAACAGGTGACTGATAGAGTGCTGACACCACAGGAGACAGTACAGGGAGAGAAATGTATAAAAGACAGAAACCAGGGAGGGATGTGGGGGAGGGACACAATAGCCATAAGAGTACTTGATCTCCAGCCAGGCAAAGTGGGGACCAAAGGGTGGCCCAAACTTTACCTGTATGATGACCACTTGTAAACCTAATCCTGAATTGGACTTCACATCTTTAAAAAACCCAAAAAGAATAAATACACAATTTTTAATTAAAAAAGACAGAAACCCCAGGGAATAACATGATTCAACGGGGAAAAAGAGGACACAAAGTTTACAGAGAACAAGCAAGAAGTAGAACTGTGGAAGCCTAGGAACAAAAGAAGTTCCAGAAAAAAGGAATAATCAAGAGTATTACAAGAAGTGAAGAAGAAGAAAAAGAAGACAAAGAGTTCCCATGGGATTTGGCAACTGGCATTTTTTTTCTTTACTTTTGCCATAGCAGTTTTATCTGAGCAGGCTGGAGTGCAGCAGCACGCTCACGGCCACAGCAGCCCTGACCTGCTGGGCTCTGGTGATCCTTCCGCCTCAGCCTAACTACAGCTACTTTCTAACACTTCTTGGTCCTCCTCCATTTCTCCTACTGCCTGCCATGTCTCCATCTTCACGCTGAGAAGTGTGCGATTTTCAGAATGCCTGACCCTCTCTGGGTAAAGGACTGAAAAGGCTCTAAAAGGCTCCCCTAGCAGCCAAGTGCATGTTTCATTTATGTTAAGAAATATCAGTACTTCTAATCCTTTTCTATTCAGGCTACTTAACCTTTTTTGAGGATTGCAGTCTAAACAACCATGTTTCCCAAGTCATTCCACCTGCAAACCACTTTCAAGATACTGGCAGCTAGAGTCACAAGCAGCTGAACACAATGGTTAGTAACGGGGCAGGTCCAGGTTAGGAGGGACAATTATACAATTTTGGGAAACTACTTACAAGAAAAAAAGTGACAAATACAAAATTAGGTATAAAAATGAATATATATTTAGAATGTAGAAAGAAATAAATCACAACAAATTTCTGAAGATTCAAGTACCTGTTTTGAGATCTTTTGGGCAATTTATGTGTCCTGGCTTCCCCTCCCCACCTCTTACATCCATCGACTTTCAGTCCAGAAAATCAAGTGTGTAAGGTACCCCAAGGCTCAAACTTCATTAGTTTCACCTTAAATCTAATCTAAAGTAAGCAAGCACAAGTGTGGCAGTAAGAAAGAGGAAGAATTCAGCCTTATTAGCTTGAATGTATTATACAATTAAATACTGTCCTGCCTAGAATTAATTACCACTGTAACAAAACAGTAGTTGAAAATCATATCCCATCCTCTGAACTGATCCTTTCTTGAGACATCCCAGTTTTCGGCTCTAAGAAGTAGCTAATAGAAATAAAACCAAAAATTCAATCTTAAGTCATTTAAAAATGAATCAAAGTCCAATATTTGACTCATTCGTGGTTGAAACAGACCAACTAAAGTGAATGACTTCTATACCCAGGAGATGGAGAAATGATGCCCAAAACCTGTAGAGATGTGCCATCTGTTTCCCATAAGACTAGTACAATCTCTGGTCAAGTACTGGGAGGTAGAGTGTTTGCATGGCCTGGTTACATATGCTTTGTAACACAAAGCAAGCATCCTCAGCCATGCTGACTCCTCACTCAGGAGTATTAACCTGTCACAGTCCTGAGTGACTGATCAGTCCTAAAATAAATAACTTCTGGGTTCTTCTCCATAACACCAAGAACTCAAATACTCACCAGATTGGTGAAATAGTAGCCATCCTCTCCAGTCATCAGTCGGCTTGGATTGCAGAAGCGGGTGATATACTGGATATTGGATTGAAGGCGTGGGGGGTTGCCCTTCAAAACAATGTATATGAGGGTGGGTAAGAAGTCATCCGCTGAAGCTGGCTCATTCTTGGTGATCTTAATGGCATTAAAGATGTGCTTGCTGCACTTGGTGATGCAGGCCAACTTATCTCGAGGCACACGCTTTGAATCCATTTCAATGATATCTACAAAGCAGGAAAGACAAAGCTTCCCATGAGAAAATAATCACATAAAAGAACCAACAGGATAATCATTTTCTATCTAATAGGTTACCGAGGAACCCTCACTAACCCCTTTCCCAGCAGTTCACTTAGTGTATGAAAAACTTAGACACCGCACAAAAATGGTAAATATGAGCTCACAATCATAGAACACACGCCCATGAGCCAGGTACTACACAATATGTTCTACAAGCATCCCCAGCTAGAAGAATGTGACCTACAGAGTACACCTTGACTGGCAGCATCTCCTGTGGAGTCCCCTGATTCACTGGCAATGAATACTATGATTATCCATTTTACAGATGAGGGAATTGAGGTTCAAAGAGGTTCAATGACTTGCCCAAGATTGTACAGATAGCAAACAACAGGGTGGGAATTTGACACCAAGTCTGACTCTAAAGCCGATTCGTCCAATCACAATGATAAGCTGCCTCTGAGGTTCATGGAGAAATAGGAAGTTGTTTGAAAAGAAGAGTCTTTTTACTGCTTCTGTTCCTCCAATATGTTTTAGAATGTATTAGAAAGTCTCAATTTGCGTACTGCTTTTTAGAAATGTGGCTACTACACAAAGCATCTTTGTATTGGATATCAGAATACAGCCACTGAAATCCAACACATTTGGGTCTTCAGTGGCCAATCCTCATGATATGTACATCTCCACTAGCTACAAATACCTATAGCACCTTTATGATGCTTATCATTTGCAGGTTAGCAGAGAGCATAAAGCAAGGGTATAAATTAATCTCAAAATAACACTGTATTTCTCTCAGAGAAAAATTATTTCACTGCCCTGACTACCACTAACTCCAACTAGTGGCATTTAAAAAAAATCCATTACATTACAGAGATGCGGGGTACAAGTAAGGGTTAACTACACAAGCAGGCTGCATGCAGGTGAAGTCTGGACCTCCAACTGGCCCTCACTTACCCCGGTAAAGGACCAGGTAACCTTTGTGTTGTTACGCATCCCACCCCCGCTTCTCCCTCCTGGCCGTGACCCAGCGACAGCCAATCCCTCCCTTGTGCTACTATTATTAAAATTGAGGACATGTGGTATTCAGTTGTTTCTGTGATAGATCACTAAGTATGATGGTCTCCAACTCCAACCAATTTGCTGCAAAGGCCATGATCTTGTTTTTCTTTATGGCTGTGTAATACTCCATCATGCATATGTACGACATTTTCTTTATCCATTCCACCTTCGATGGGCAGTAGGATTGGTTCATAGTGTGGCTATAAACATGTGGGTCCAGGTGTCTTTTTGGCAGAACAAATTATGTTCCTCCAGGTATATTCCCAGGAGAGAGATTGTGGTATCATATGGAAGGTCAAATTTTAGTTCCTTCAGGACTCACCATACTGCTTTCCATAGAGGTGGAACTAGCTTGTACTTGCACCAACAGTGTAGAAGTGTTCCTTTTTCTTTGCACCTGTGCCAGCATCTGTTGTTTTTTGATTTATTAATGATGACCATCCTTACTGGAGTTAGGTGGGTAACTCATTGTAGTTTTGATTTGCATTTCTCTGATGATTAGTGAGGCTGAACAATTTTTCATGTATCTGTTGGCTACTTGTATGTCTTTTTTTGAAGTGTCTATTCATTTATTCAAAAAGGCCGTTGCTCACTTTTTAATAGGTTTGTATTTTACCTTTCAGTTTGTTTGAGTTCCTTGTAGATCCTGGATGTTAGGCCTCTCTGTCAGATACAGAATTTGCAAATATTTTTTTCCCATTTTGTGGATTGTCTTCCCACTCTCTTGATAGATGCAAAAATTCTAAACAAGATTCCAGCAAATCAGATCCAACAACACATCTTTCTCAATTGCCAGGAATACTTTCAGTAAGACTGGTATCAGCTCTTCCTTGTATGTCTTGTAGAATTTAGTTGGGAAGCCATCAGGTCTGGGACACTTTTTAGTAAATAGATTTCTTATGACTGAGCTGATTTCCTGGATTGTTATTGGTCTGTTTAGAATTACAATTTTTTCTTGTTTCAACCTTGGGAAGTTGTCTGATGTCAGAAAGTGCTCCATTTCCTTTAGGTTTTCTAGTTTATTTGCATACAGATTTCTATAGTAATCGCTCATAATCTTTTGAATTTCTTCAGGGTCAGCTGTGACTTTGCCTTTTGTGCTTCTAATTTTGTTTATCTGGGTTCTCTCTTTTTTAGTCAATCTGGCCAGGTGACCGTCAATCTTATTTATTCTTTCAAATACAAGCTTTTGGTCTTGTCTATCCTTTCTATGATTTTTTTTATCTTCTATGTCCTGCAACTCTGATTTTATCTTGGTGCTCTGGATTCTTCTAGTGAGGTTAGAGTTTAGGTGCTCTTGCCTTTCCAGCTCCTTTAGGTGTGACATTAGGCTGTCTACTTGTGATCTTTCTGTTTTCTTGATTTGTGTATGCAATGTTGTAAATTTTCCTCTTGACACTATTTTCATGGCCTCCCACAGATGCTGATGTGTCCTTGTTTTTGTGTGTTTCCAGGAGTTTTTTAAATTCTGTCTTGACTTCCACGTTGACCCAGAAGTCATTCAACAGGATACTGTTTAGAGTCCATGTCTTTGTGTATTTTAGAGGGATCTTGTTGGTGGTGATATTTATTTTCATTCTACTGCAATCTGAGAAGACACATGGTATTATTTCGATCTTTTGAAATTTTCCTTTTTTTTTTTTTTTTTTGAGTTGGAGTCTCACTCTGTCACCCAGACTGGAGTGCAGTGGCCGCTCCTGGCCACCGCAGCCTCGACCTGCTGGGCTCCGGCAATCCTTCTGCCTCAGCCTTCGAGTAGCCAGAATTACAGGCACACGCTACCACTCGGCTAATTTTTTGATTTTATTGTAGAGATGAGGTCTCGTCTGCCCAGGCAGGTCTCAAACCTGCGGGCTCAGGCAATCCACTCACCTCAGCCTCCCAAAGGCGCGGGATTACAGGCTGAGCCACCGAGCATGGCTTGAAATTTTCTTATGCTTGATTTATATCTGAGAAAGTGAATGTTCCTGGAGTATCGTCTATGTGCTGATGAGTAGAAAGTATACTCTATTTGTTGGGTGAAGTGTTCTGAAGATGTTTATTCAGTCCGTTTGATCAAGTATTGAGATTCTGGATCCCCTTGTTGGTTGTTTTCCTCAATGACTTACCTAAAGTTATTAGTCATCTATTAGGTCTCCTACGATGATTGTGTGAGTCAGTGTACTCCTTTAGTTTGCTTATTAGTTGTCTTATAAAGCTTGGTGCTCCTGTGTTGGGCTCAAGCAATCCTTCTGCCTCAGTCTTCCAAGTAGCTGGAACTACAGGTGCAAGTCACCACACTCAGCTAAGGAATATTTTTTCAGGTTTTGATTCTACCTGGCATATGCTACATGTGATGTGCTTTAACTTCTATGGTCATTTCCTTTCCTTGAGTTTATTCTGTGTCAGCTTAAATATCTCAAAATCTTAATTCACAGTATGTCTCCCATAACAGATGATAATTTTTAAAGCCCCAAATGTCAATACTGAGGCCCTTCTTGGAAGCAAGAAGAGACAGGATGATCCTTTTTCCACAGGTATTTCCTGCAGAGAGAGATGTCAACTGAAATTTTTTAAATGTCTCAGTATATTTATAAACAAAACTGATAGTCCAAAGTAGTAGCACATGGAATAAATGGGAATAATTTAACTGATATCTCCATATTTAAAACCACTGTTATAGGCTAGTGTTCTCTTTGATAACTCTTATACTTAGGCTGACATTTTAGATCAGAAAGAAAGTGACTGTGTAACCTTCAGTCCTCAGAGCCAGAATGTGCCTACATTTTGGTTGACAAGATGTGAAAGCTATGACTGGAGACAAAGAGTGGGAAGGCTTTTAAAATTTTGTTGCTGAATTTCTATTATCAAAAGACCTCTTGAAACTTCATCTCCTTTGTCTTGAGAGAAAAGTTTCATCTCTCGAATTCTATTAATAAACTCTAAATGTGTTAAAATTCTCTTTTTTTGTTCTATTTTTAAATAAACAATGGTCTAGCACTTTAATTTCTGGTTTCAAAGTCTGTCCTGTGGATTTCAGAAAAGGGTCCTCAACATAAACTCCTGTGGAATACTCTAGACATAGACCAGCTAATCTTGAACTTCCTAGTAAGTCTTTGGGGGAAAAAACAAACACAAGTTTTTTTTCTCCATACTCAGGCTTTTGGAAGGCCCTTACCTTCAAACATTTATGAGATTCCCTGAGCAATAGGTGAAAGTGAGGATGGGTCTTGATCTTCAAAGGAATCAATTCATGGGACCTATTTCATAGTCTAGCAGAAAAGCTTGGAACAATAAACATGAAAGTATTTAGCTAAGCCACTTAGCTTTTGCCTCCAGAACTTGCACAGGAAATTACAGAGAATAATTTATTTAACAGGAATTGAAATGCAAAGATATACAGAGACAAGAAAGAATCACATTTATAAACAAAACTGAGGGAGCAGACCCTCTTGTAGTTATAGAGGTGGTACGACAACCCAGTCCCTAGAGGAGCCTTGTAATCAAGTTTCTGCGAGAGTCCCACCTCCTTTACAACGCCGATAATATCTTAAGCAAACTCTCATTTCTTCTTGTAGCTTGTGTGAGTTTCTGGATCTTATGACTAAAAGAGCCTACTTAATGGCCTGCCTCCACCACTGCTAACATCAGTTGACCCATTTTTCTTCCCAGCATTTCATTAACAATTTCTAAATGAACAAATCTTTCCAGCTCTTCTCCCTAATTAAGAAGAAGCTGACCAAAGTTGGACATCTACTCCACTAGGAATTTTTTTTTAACCTGCACTTTTGCCAGGTTATCCCTAAGAATTGGAAACAAAAACTATTAGGAGTCTGGACCTGCACAGAATGGCAGAGCCACATCAATTTGGGGCATTTCATTTATGTTCTGATCCAACCTGGAAAATAATTCAAAGCACATCTCTAACAACCAGTCAGAGAATCATTTTAATATGTTATTCTAGCTTAGGGACTATGTTGCCTTAATTCCCTTCCTCTACTCAAAATTATCTTGAATATACAAATGCAAATGAGTCTTAAGAAATTTACTCTAGGCATATTAAACATTAGTTTAGTTCTATGTCCAAGAAATGGGACCTTGATCACTGAAAATGAAGAGGAAACGAGTTAATCTGGTATTTTGAATGCATCAAATTTATAAAACTAACACTCTTGCAAATCACTTTTACTACATTTCAATGTATCTTTGGCTGTCTGAATTTTAGAAATATTTTAATGACTTTTTGCTCACTGAAAAATGTGGACTAATATAGCAAAATGTTAATCTCAAAAGGAAAACATCCAAATAAAAAGCTCTCAGTTTCACTGACCTGTAATTGCTTTCACTACCATATCAGACACTTCTGGAATTTCTTCATTCACAGGGACACAAAGCATCTGAGGTGTAACCCAGTGCAGGGCTCTACAGAAAGAGAGAGAGAGACAATAAAGTTCCAAGAATGAACTGTGGTCATTCATCTTGTCACTTCCTTCAGCTAAGAGACACTACTGACTACTCAGATGATCCTAGGCCCCAAGCACATCGCCCCTGCACATATGAGAAGCTCAAATTATGTGACAGCAACTAGAATCCTAAAATAAGATTTGTTATCTTCTGCACTTATCACAAGAAGAACAAAAGAAAATTTTACTTGTTGAAATGAGACTACACAGTACTACTAAGACTGACAAGCACTCAATAATGGAGAGTGAAGATTTTAAAACAATTTATTGTTTCCTGTCCTTACTGTTCACCACTGTTAATGTCCTTTTACACCTTGCCCTCAACTTGAGGCATATGGGAGCCTGTGTAAGAGGCTACCAAGCATGTGTCTCCTCAGTATGAATCTTGGTTTCATTCCAAAGATGCTGCTTTTGATCTCAACTCTTGCTTGGTTAATGCTTTCACTCTGCATCTTGGTAAACGGCCCATCTAGTTACTTCTGGTACCTGACCTGGGGCTCAATCTTCCCAGTATCAGTCCCTCACTTCTTGTGTGACAAGTTCTACCAATTCCCAGCCCCTTATCTGGGGTCCCATTTGGGATCCGTAGGTCCCTCTCCTCTAGAAACACCTCACTGCCTCAGCTTTTGACCTTCTCTCACACTTGGGTGGCCTATCCTAAGTGTTCCACTGCCACTGGAGTACTATGAACCAAGAAAACAAGTCCTACTATTCCTTGGAAATTTCAGAAAATTGAAACAATCTCAAACACCAAACATGATTCTTATCTAAAGCTGCCTGAAGTCAGATGGAAAACAAAATTGCTACATTCCTTTTCTTTCTTACATCACAAAGCTGCTTATATGCTAGGGATGGCAGGTACATTAGCTGTTACTTTCTCTTAAGGCTTGACACTCAAGTGCCTTATTTTTCCATAATGTGTTCGTCCATTAGTAGGTAGTACATATAAGATAAAGCAAAAAAAAAAAACTACCTGATTCTCTTTTGAATAGCAAGATCTTTCTTCTCATCATCAGTAGTTTCTGGACAGAACACATATTTATAGAGACGAGTCATGATGTACTTTTCAATCTGATCCATTATCTTCTCAACTCTTTCTGGAGGCACTGAAATACCCAAATGGATAAAAAAGCTCAAGAGAAGGATGGATATTTTAAAATAAGAGTGTGTTTTCTTTTCTTTTTTTGAGTTGGAGTCTCATTCTGTCACCCAGACTGGAGTGCAGTGGTCGCTCCCGGCCACCGCAGCCTCGACCTGCTGGGCTCCGGCGATCCTTCCGCCTCAGCCTTCCAAGTAGCTGGAACTATAGTCGCGTGCTACCACGACTGGCTAATTTTTTGATTTATTGTAGAGATGAGGTCTCGCCTGCCCAGGTGGGTCTCGAACCCGGGGGCTCAGGCAATCCACTCACCTCAGCCTCCCAAAGGCGCGGGATTACAGGCTGAGCCACTGAGCCCGGCAAGAGTGTGTTTTCATAGTACTTTCTACACAGCAAAAAAAATGAATTTATTAGAAATACATTAAACACACCCAGAAACAAGAGCATAACATGTCACATTAAAAAATATCCTTTAAAAAATTACCTCTACTTTTGGGGTTTTTTAGTATCCCCACTTCTTTTTTTTTTGAGTTGGAGTCTCACTCTGTCGCCCAGACTGGAGTGCAGTGGCACACTCCCAGCCACCGCAGCCTTGACCTGCTGGGCTCCAGTGATGCTTCCACCTTAGCCTTCCAAGCAGCCGGAACTACAGGCATGCACTACTATGCCCGGCTAATTTTTTTGATTTATTGTAGAGATAAGGTCTCACCAAGTTGCCCGGTGGGTCTCAAACCTGCAGGGCTCAGGCAATCCACTTGCCTCGGCTTCCCAAAGTGCTGGGATTACAGGCTGAGCCACCGAGCCCGGCCAGTATCTCCACTTCTAACTTAGGTTGTTTTGGTAGGACCTAGCAGAAGTGCACACTGCCAAGTGGGAAGACCTCAGCAAGGTCACTCCCAATTGCTATGTTAGAAAAGCATTTGGAAATTAGCCGGGTGTTGTAGTGTGTGTCTACAGTTCTGGCTATCTGGAAGGCTGAGGTGGAAGGATTGCCTGAGCCCAACAGGTCAATGCTGGGGTGGTTGTGAGTGTGCCACTCCCTGCACTCCAGCCTGGGTGACAGAGTGAGACTCCAACTCAAACAAAAAATAAAAAAGAAAAGCATCTGAAATTCCCAAGACTGATGAATGCTAGCATAATTTACCCTTTCATTTTTTTGAGGTTTACCATCAAATCTAGAGATCTCCCTGAGGTATGCATTTGGGGGACAGCTCAGATATACACATGTGCTAAGTACATACTAAAGTCTGACATCCATGGAGGTCAAACTTAAGAAGAATCCCTAAGAACCTAAAGCTCTGAGTAAATTTTTTTTTATTTTTAAAAATTATTTTAAAAATATTTTTAATATTTGTGAGACTAATCGTTGGAATTCTTAAGATGAACTGGATGGTGCAACAGTTGTCCTCTTGGGTTTAGGCATTGTTCCCTCATAAAATTCATGTCTGAATCTGCAGTATACGATTTTTAGGTGTCTCATTCGACCAGTCCCAGTGATATTTAATTTTTTAGCCCTGGCACTCCAGTTATACTTTCTCTTGCGCTTGGCAGGGTAGCCACATTTGTCACAGGTCGACTTCTGAAGGTGGCAGGTCTTAGAGCTGCAGCGGCGGCATGGCACGGCGTCTTACTGGGACACTTTCCAAATGATGATGCTCCCCTTCATCATCTTGGTTCTGCGGCCGAGACCAAGGAGCAGTAATTTTTTTAAACTACAATAACGGACCAAGACAGTGATTCCAAGAGGGGGAATTAATTAAGAAAAGCAGGCCAGGCTCGGTGGCTCAGCCTGCAATCCCAGCACTTTGGGAGGCCAAGGTGAATGGACTGCCTGAGCCCGTGGGTTCAAGACCCGCCTGGGCAACTTGGCGAGACCTCATCTCTACAATAAATCAAAAAAATCAGCCAGGCATGGCAGCACACGCCTGTAGTTCCAGTTACTTGGAAGGCTGAGGCGGAAGGATCGCCGGAGCCCAGCAGGTCGAGGCTGCGGTGGCCAGGAGCGGCCACTGCACTCCAGTCTGGGTGACAGAGTGAGACTCCAACTCAAAAAAGAAAAAAAAAAAGAAAAGCTTCCCAAGAGCTTTTAATCTGCTTCACTCCTGGAGGTATTGAAAATTTCTCAATAATTATCCAGCTGCTCTTGGACAGATACACATGGTAGTATTTAAAGGCACTGCTAAGCATAAGATCCAATAACCAGGATGCTAGTGGAGTGGTTTATAGGAAGAAGTGGACAAGCAAGCCAGGGCATTGAAGAGGGAGACTGCTAAGAGAATGAGCTGTCAGTCCCTGTGCAACTGCCAGCAATCTTGATGGCTGGTTAACAAAGTATTACCTTTTCCACGAGTCTGCATTCTTTCAGCTACACTCTGGTAAAAATCCTGAGTACACTCTGACTGTTCCTCAATGCTTAAATCCTGAAACAGGGGAACAAAGAGGCTGCTTAGTAGCTAAAACAAGTACATAAGCACAGTTTTAAATTACAATTAATCCTGTAGGGGAGAAAAACCTATCTGTTAATATTATTTATAACATCCCATTACCTTTTAACTCATTTTGCTATATATACATATTCTTACTTAGATATAATACATATTTAATCATTTACACATTTTATGTATGTTTCCACTTATCTAATCCACTTAAGCTTTATAATATTCCATTATATTAACCAATTCATTTAAGTATTCTTTACCACCACTATACATTGGGGTTGCTTCCCCCTTTTCACTATTATGTATTACAGCTATAAACAACTTTCTAAGGTGGTTTCTTCTGGGTTATATCTTTTTGTTACATTTCTAAAAGTGGCATTTACAGTTTATTAAGTGTGAACAACTTTATATCTCTAAGTATCTATTGCTATACACAATCTTCAGAAACTCCAGGATATGTGATAGACCAAAAAAAATCTAAAATTATCTTTTGGAAGGCGGGTTCCTTGTAGTACACTCAGAATTTGTTTCTCTGGATCAAACAGTTAATCAAAATTTTTATCTGCAAGTTTTGGGAAGGTTGTGTCAAGGTTTGTGAAGAAATGTCCCAATTAGCGGCCACCATGACAATGCACCTTCCCATACTGTGCTGAGTGTTCAGCAGTTTTGAACCAAAAATGGCATGACCCCTGGGCCCCACAGTCCCTATTTACCTGATATTGCCCTAAGTGATTTTTTTGTTGTTGCCCTGGATGAAAGAAGTCCTCAAAAGGAAATGTTTTGCTGATGTGGAAAAGGTGAAACAAAAAACGACAGAAGCACTAAAACGCATCCAAACTGATGAGTTCAAAGACTCTTTTGAGCAGTAGAAAAAGCACCTCAGTAGGTGTATTGCAGTATTGCATCAAAGGCACTCTGAAAGTGAATGAAGTTTAAATATGTACATATAAATACACAATTTTTAATAAACAAATTCCAGGGATTTTGGGTCTCCCTTTATACACTGTCATCAGCCATTACATGTACTTATTTCTCCACAGCCCCTACAACATTGGGTTTTATATTTTTATTTGACTTTATTGATTTTATGGGTATAAACATGTATTTATTCCTTGCTTCTTGCAAAGAATATTTAAGGTCTATATAAAAGATAAACACAGTTTGGCACAATAGACTAGAAAATAAAAATATTAATAAGTAAAAAGAAGAACAAAACATGGAGACACAGGAAGCAGAGCCAGAAATAACAGCATGTATAAGTTAGTCAAGAATCAGCCCTTGTGTCTCTAACTAAACTTTCTAGCAGGTATCACGAAGGTAAAAAGTTACATAATTCAATGTTCAAAAGATAAAAGCAAACTAATTCTTCAGGTAAAATTCTGACAAAAAAAGAAATTTCATTCAAGGGTTCTCATAAAGGTATCACAGCAGAAGGGCATGAGTAAGGTCCAGGACAAACTTCCCAGGACTCTTTCGCACAGACGTCATCTACACAGGCCAATAACATCACATGCCAAGGGCCAATAAAGTCCATGGAAGCATGTGGTAGTTTGTTGCTCTAGCTTAATTCTGAAAGGATGGCGGAACACTCAGGGCAGGAGACAATCATCACACCACGCCTATGTGCCTCCATAATGCCTTTCCCATCTGTCCCTTCCTGGTTCGGGACCCCATTATCTCTTAGTTGGAGTCTAACTGCTCTTCCAATCTTTGATCTTTCTCACTTTTCAATCCATTTCACATACTACAGTCAAACTGGGATCTTAGATTATAAGCTGGTCACACTGTGTCTCAAACCTTCAATGGTTTTCCATCAGCTGGATGCCAAAGGGTACATTTAGTGCAAACAGTTCATCCTTCTTCTCACTTACCTGCTGGTTTACCTACTGCTCTGAGAATATGCTTTCAGTAGCTTTCCCACCTCTCTAACACGGTGACATTATTCTCCTCTCCACAATCCTCTAATAGCTGTCCAAATCTCCGAAGTATTTTCCTTAAGGCTGAGTTCACATTTTTACATCCTCTAAGATGCTGACCCTTATTCTTAGTCAAATAATCTTGTAGGTCTCAAAACACTTAACGCATTTGTGATTACCCTCACTGTAGCTCTCATTGCTATCTTGTTAGCTATATATGTGCCATTTGCTTGAATTAAAATCGATCCCTCAACTAGAAAAGCCTAGGTAGTACCCCTAGTAAATTGTATATATTTTGTTACTTTAAGTTCTAATTTATATTCACCAGTTTCCCACTGTTGTCTTCTACCTTATTTGAGTTTTATTTTTCATTGCACATTAAACCTTATACCTGGTCATTAAAAATAATTCTTTGGGCCAGGCTTAGTGGCGCAGCCTGTAATCCCAGCACTTTGGGAGGCTGAGGCGAGTGGACTGCCTGAGCCGGCGGGTTCGAGAACAGCCCGGGCAACTTGATGAGACCTCATCTCTACAATAAATCAAAAACTAGCCGAGAGTGGTAGTATGCGCCTGTAATTCCAGTTATTTGGAAGACTGAGGCAGAAGGATCACCGGAGCCCAGCAGGTCTATGCTAAGGTGGCCATGAATGTGCCATGGCACTCCGGCTTAGGCGACAGAGTGAGATTACAACTTAAAAAAAAAAAAATTATTTGCTGGGTATGGTGGTTCACGACTGTAATTCCAGATTTTGGGAAGCTGAGGCAGGAGGACTGCTTGCACCCAGGAGTTCAAGACTAGCCTAGGCAACATAGTGAGACCTTGTCTATACAAAAAATCAAAATATTAGTCAGGCATGGCACATGCCTGTAGTTCCAGCTACTCGGGAGGCTGAGACTGAAGGATCACCTGGGCTCAGGAGATCAAGGCTGCAATGAGCTGTGATCATGCCATTACACTCCAGCCTGGGCAATAATGACGTGAGATCTCAACTAAAATAAATAAAAGTCCTGGCTTTCCTTTCCTGTGTTTCTCATTCTCCAACAAGACTTCATTGTTTTGTTTTCTATCTATGCCCCATCTATGACTTGATACAAGAAATTTATATTATAAGATCTCTAAGCTTCATCTCTTCATCTCTGTACCAAATTAGATCTCCAACTATATCCATGGGCTAAACTTTAAGTCCACTGGCCATATTTCTTTAGAGAAAGTTTTAATATCACACCTGGAATTTTATGTGGGTAGTCACAGCAGCAGCTACATGAAGAACATGTCCATAAGAATATGTCTATAAAAATATAACCAAACTATCATCTTGCTCTCTTATTCTTACTTTAAAACATTTGCAAACCTCCTCAAATCCTTTCAAACAGCAGAATGAGTTTAAATAAATAAAGGAAGGACTCCCATTATCAAGTTTGAGAGGGTATGTTCTTTTACTATTAAACTTAGAAGTCGAATTTTATGTTTTCTATGGAGCACTTTATTTACTCAATGTTTTAACTGATATTTGAATTTTCCTTTATGACGATATATTTAACTTGTCATTCATTTATGCTTTTTTTTTTTGTAGAGGTGGGGGTCTCACCAGGTTATCCAGCTGGTCCCGAACACATGGCCTCAAGCAATCATCCTACCTCGGCTTCCCAAAGTGCAAGGATTATAAACCTGGTCCATTCATTCATTTTTTTTTTTTTTGAGTTGGAGTCTCACTCTGTCGCCCAGACTGGAATGCAGTAGCACACTCTCGGTCACCGCAGCCTCGACCTGCTGGGCTCCGGCGATCCTTCCGCCTCAGCCTTCCAAGTAGCTGGAACTACAGGCACGCGCTACCACGCCTGGCTAATTTTTTTTGATTTATTGTTGAGATGAGGTCTCGCCAAGTTGCCCAGGCGGGTCTTGAACCCGCGGTCTCAGGCAATCCACTCACCTCGGCCTCCCAAAGCACTGGGATTACAGGCTGAGCCACCGAGCCCAGCCCATTCATTCATTTTTAGGGACAGGGTTTTACTAAGCTGACTAGGCTGGAATGCAGTGGCTATTCACTGGTGCAATCACAGCATACTGCAGCCTCAAACTCTTAGGCTCAAGTGATCCTTCTGCCTCAGACTCCTGATTAGCTGAGACTAAAGGTATCCACTGCCACACCTGGCTCTATTGTTTTAGTTCATGTGCTTTCTGTAATAGAGTATCTATTCATTTTATGTACTCGAGTAGTTTACAGATGGTAACCTTTCATTTGCACCAAATTTTAACATTTGAGTTAGAACAAGCTATATTAAATCTTATGATTATGACTATAAGGGTGTGAGCATCTTTAAACTGAAATCCAACATACTCCAAAATCTCAAAATTTTTGGGTGTCAACATGACACCACAAGTGGAAAATTTCACATCTGCCCTCATGTAATGTGTTTTCAAAATTTTGTTAAAAGCCAGGTGCAGTGGTGCATTCCTGTAGTCCCAGATAAATCCTTAAGTATCTCTTCGAAGATTACATATTGATCACAAAGATAAAAATAGTGAAGAGACAGGGCAGGCACTGCCTTAACCAAGTGATCAAAGTGAGTGCCATCAATAAGTGCAGTGCAGTGGCACATTCATAGCCACCCCAGCGCCAACCAGCTGGGCTCTGGTGGCCCTTCCGCCTCAGCCTTCCAAGTAGCCGGAGCTACAGGCACGCGCTACCACGCCCGGCTAATTTTTGATTTATTGTAGAGATGAGGTCTCGCTGTACATTTTCTTAACTGTCTTGTTGAAGTCTTATCTTCCACCTCCACTTTTGAGAACCTTTGATGATTCCCTTAATTATCTTTCCTGTGAATTTCATCTGGAATTCCCATCATTAGGATTTAGGGTTCCATGATCTATTTTCTGAGTTCATTAAGTTCTGTTTATACTGCTGTTAACTGTTTAATCTATTTGTTTTAGCTTTCAAGCCCATATTTTTCTGTATCATAAATTTCTGCTGCCTTTGACAATTATTTTAGCACAATTTTAAAACTAAACATTAAAAGTATACCAAGGCCAGGTTTGGTGTCTCAGCCTGTAATCCCAGCACTTTG